ATAAAACATTTATACAGACACAAAGAGTACATATACTTATGGGAAAAGAATATTTCTGAAATAAGTATATTTTGAGATATAAAAAGAGATTTAGAATATAATAAATATACTTGTGGCTTAGATTATAAATATGTTTTTGCAATCTGTGATGCAACTATGAGTATGCTCATTTATATTTGCAAACATAAACAAATCTGCAGCAGCAGAACAGATAATAATAAATGACCATAATTTTTCAATTTAAGTTATTCTTATTTATATCTCTACTCATGTCTTTTATTTGGTGTAATTTTGTATTCGCAAACAATCTGAATGAAGTTTGCAAAGAGCATTACAATTTTTTGAACACTATTGTAAATATTTTATATAAATTATATTGCATTAAATAGATAAGTAATATAGAGAGTATTTTTAATACATTTGTACCTGACACACTAATATGAGTAAAACATAGAAGAACTTGAAAAATAGTTATGGAAATTGCTGTACAAAATAAAAACATTTCTTGTTTTTTATTTTACATCATTTGTGCCATGTAATGTTAATAGCATCATACATCACACGTATGGATGACAAAATAATAAGCTAGTGTAATTACAAAAGAGAATATTTAGATTAGCTATCTACGACTGGTTGCTTATAATCAGGTAAAACTAGGATTTGGAGAAATATTACGAGGTTCACATAGTAAATTTTACTTAATACAAAATTTTACACCTATATACATAAAAGTGGAAGAACTCTTGCTTTTTCTAGCACTTGATGTCAAGAATTAAATTCTAGGTAATGGAAAGGCACAATTTCCTGGATGGTACTCTCATACTTTTAAAACAGTTTTAATATAATTTAAAACGTTCACATTTTTGAGAATACCCGAATGGTCTACACCAGGAAAACCTTGGGTATAGATCTTTTGCTTTTGTTTATCCTGCCAATATTTACAAGCTTCCAAACTTCTTAGATTTACAGTGCCGTCGCCATCACCAGGAAGTAATTGTGGAACGCCTTGTATGGATGTACCAGGCTTATAGTATAATCTAGAAGTAATTTATGTATAAATGTGACAATGAAAAAGATTATTACGTAAAATTATCGAATTATAATGCAATTATGTACTTTTGTACTGTATCAATTCCAGTTCCATACAGACAATATAGTTCAACTCCTGGAGGTGCAAAGTTTAGTTGATACTTTTCATTATCCTGCCTGAACTCCCATCCGTTTGGAACATTTATGTCTCTGTGAAATAAAAATATGTAGTTGTTACTTTTACTATTAAAAAAAGAGTGCAGATTGTATACATCATACTTTACATTAAATAATCTTTTAAAGTTGACAATGTGTAGTTTTTTTCACTTGATTCCACCAACACTTCTGTTTCTTTCCAAAATAATTTTGATGGTAATAACCAACCTAGACTAGGACTAGTTATTTGTTGATCTTTCAGGATACTTTGACGAAGAAGATATGCACCCAAGTCATCCCCTGCAGTTACATATAAAATTAAAAGTAAAATTAAGAAATCTAAATTTAAATGTTGTTTACTACTTACCAACAGCAAAAACTTTAAGGGCTTTGACAGAACCACCCCAAGCAGCCGAAAGTGTAATTAAAGAACTAATGTATTTATCTTTCCATGCTTGACTTTGACGTTGTAAGAAAATAAGTGTCATTGGTCCACCCATGCTGTGTGCTAACAATGTTACAGGAGTCTGTTGGTTTGCTTTATATGTCTGTTCAATTAAATCTTTTAGTTTAGTAAAAAATTCAGCATTTTCATCTAAAAAAAATTTTTTGGAAAGACAATTATAGAATTTTATATGAAATTCATTGAATTTATTTCAATAAATAATCTTTCAGTTATACGTACTAGGACCTTTTCTAAAATCATAAGGTGCTCCTCGTATAGATTGATTTCTAACATATCCAAGCTCGCTAACTAATAGATTACCGATATCTTTAAAATAAGCTCCGGGAGAAGCTTTAGTAGGATCCAGGTATTCAACTGCAAATGGATCGCCCCAGCCTGGTACACGTATATCAACACCATCTGAATTTTTTGTTGTTCTTGTTACGTTATCATAGATTAGTTTCATATTATCAATCTGAAACCACATTCCTGTTATAAATTACGAATAAACAGACACTTGAAAGAGTATACATATGCTATTTACCCAACAATCAATAATGACTGGTACAAGTAATTCTAAATTCAACCAAATATTGAAGTAATCACTTGAAGTTTTTCCACAGAAATAATGCACTACGGATGTTTTATTGAGTTTAGCTTCAATCTGACTGCCTCCATCACCTGGAACTATTTATGTAGCAATTGTATTAATGTGTAATTATTGTAATTATTAAACTATCATAAAAAAGTGATTACCGAATATAATTGGAGATATTTGTTTATTTTTGGCATGCCACAATCTGACAGGTGAAACACAACATAAAAATATCGCACAGATGAACAAACACACGCGCATGGTATTCCAATAACTATATATAAGAATTAAACATTGAATTTCAATGAAACTGTAATATTAATTAAACGAATTATATAGACTGTATTATAACGGAGTCAAGAACACACGCAGCAAAGACATCGAAAACGTATCACAATAAAATATTTGTTATTCCGACTTCTGTGGTACGTAATCAGCTGATGACGCATTCGTATCTGTCAGAGGTACTATGGGAAACTGCATGAGACGTAATGTATTTTAAATGAGAAAATTTCGAAATGTCGATAAGTGATATCTTATGACGTGTTTCGATAATCTTTATTTCGTAGAAAAATAAACAATTGTTACTTAGTTCTCTAATATTCTCCTAAATGTTATTCTTAGATTAAAAAATAGATATTCTATATTTTGTTATTACAACCGACAACTAAATATACATGCTTAAGCATTTACTATGCTTAAGCTTAATACTATTTTTATTCTTATATTTATGAATATGATGTATATATAGATAGTACATATCAATGCAATTTATCAAGCTACATGTTACAATGTATACATTATATACATTTCG